ATAAAAGACTTTGCAGAAGAGATAGAAAACAATCACTTGGTAAAAAATGCATGCCATTTCAGATTCACATTCAAGCATTTTGTTATTAAGTGACTAACCTCTCTAAATACAAAAGTATTTGTTATTTCTGGCAGTAAGGATAGTTAAGCTTAAGAACTGTGGTATTGGCTCTATCAACATATGAGATGTTTTTAACTGAGGTTTGTGGTTTGTATGTTCTTCTATAGAACAATCCACAGTTGCTGTCAAACTGTTCTATTCTCAGCTGGCTGATTTATAAGAAAAGCAACAGTTTCAACCCATTCTGCAAAAATCTTCTGACCCAGTATGTACTAAAGTTGCACATCCTAGAGTAGTAACTTCACTATTTAAATATATATCTGGTGAAACTTAAGCTCTGAAGTTTAGTTACTAGTTTGGTACCAGTGTTAATGTCTTCATTTGGAAAATTGTACTTGGTTATAGAGACGTTAAAATTGGGAAACTCAGGTATATACAGCAAAGCTCTGTACCAGTTCGACAACTTTTCAGTAAGCTTAAAGTTAGTTCAAAATAAAAAGTAAATAAATACATGTGTGCATGTGTGGGTATATATGGGCTTCCCAGGTGGCACTAGTGGTAAAGAATCCACCTGCCAATGCAGGAGATGCAAAAGATGCCGGTTCAATGCCTGTGTCAAGAAGATCCCCAGAGAAGGAAATGGGAACCTGCTCCAGTATTCTTGCCTGGGGAATTCCATGGACAGAGGAGACTGGCGGGCTACAGTCCATGGGGCTGCGTATTCAGACAGGACTGAGCAACTGAGCATGCACACACACCTGGATATATTAACATTTTTATGAAATCAGTGCTACTGAGAGTGTGCTCCACAAATTCTTTTTTTTTCAGAGGGAGGCTTCGAGTCACCCATCCGTGGGTCTTTCCTGCCAGTAGTTTCTTTTATTTCCATGAATATTTTATTTATAAAATGCAATTTATTTATAAAGTACAGCTTTTAATATCCACCTTTTTTTCCTTTACTTTTTTTTAAACTATAGTTGATTTACAATGTTGTGTTAGTTTCAGATATACAACAAAGTAATTCAGTTTATATATACAAAAGAATATATATATTATATGTTTTATATATGTGTGTGTGCTCAGTTGCTAAATTGCATCTGACTCTGTGAGCTCATGGACTGTAGCCTGCCAGGTTCCTCTGTCCATGGAATTTTTCAGGCAAGAATACTGGAGTGGTTTGCCATTTCCTCCTCCAGGGAATCTTCCCAGCCCAGGAATTAAACCCTGATCTCCTGCATCTCCTAAATTGGCAGGCAAATTCTTTACTACTGAGCCACCTGAGAAACACTTATTATAGACATATATAAGAATATATATTTTTTCAGATTATTTTTCCATTACAGGTTATTTATAATAAAATATTGAATATCATTCCCTGTGCTATACTGTAGGGCCTTGTTATTTATCTGCTTTATATATAGATATGTACAGTGTGTATCTGTTAATCAAAAATTCCTAATTTATTCCTCTCGTCCTCAATATCAAAGAAACAAGCAACCCAATCAAAAATGGGCAGAAGACCTAAATAGATATTTCTCCAAAGACAAACAGATGGCTAACAGGCACATGAAAAGATACTCAACATAGCTAATTATTAGAGAAATGCAAATCAAAACTACAATAAAATATAACCTCACACTGGTCAGGATGACCATCATCAAAAAGTACAAATAATAAATGTTGAAGAGGGTGTGGAGAAAAGGAACCTTCCTACACTGTTGGTGGGAATGTAAACTGGTACAACCACTTTGAAGAACAATATGAAGCTTCCTTAAAAAACAAAAAATAGAGTTACCATATGATCCAGCAATCCCACTCCTGGGCATATATCTGGAGAAGATTATAATTCAAAAAGATACAAGCACCTTAATGTTTATTGCAGTACTATTTACAACAGCCAAGACATGGAAGCAATCTAAATGTTCATCTACAGATGAATGGATAAAGAAGATGTATATTTATGTACAGTGGAATAATACTCAGCTATAAAAAAGATTAAATTAATGTCATCTTCAGAACATAGATGGACCTAGAGATTATTATGCTAAGTGAAGTAAGTCAGACAAAGAAAGACAAATATTACATGATATCACTATATGTGGTATCTAAAAATGATACAAATGAAGTTATTTATGAAATAGACTATTATTAATCAGACAAACTAAATATGGAAATTGAAGTTAAGCATTTAGACTGTTGTATAACAATTTAACATTTTTACAAAATTAAAGCATATGATTGATTTCCTAGTTTACTTTTATTGCATTTTTTAAAAGTATCAATCTGTATTAGAGTTCTCCAGAGAACAGAACCAACAGACTCTGTGTGTGTGTGTGTGTGTGTGTGTGTGTGTGTTTATATATACAGAATTCCTTCTTGCTCAGGAGAGTTCAGTCTTTCTTCTGTTAAGACCTTCAACTGATTGGATAAGGCCCACACATATTATAGAGACATTCTGCTTTACTCAACTACTAATTTAGTTGTCAGTCTCATCTAAAAAATTACCTTCACTGAAACATTAGAATAATGTTTGACCAAATATCTGGGCTCCCTGGACCAGCCAAGCTACCACAAGTTATCACATAGTCTATGATAGATTGAAAGATAGTTTGAGAATCATTGTACAAGACAACTTTTAATAGTCTACCAAATAGTTCCATTAATTAAAAAAACCTTCAGACTAAGAATGTTCCTGTTTCCACAGGGGAACTACTGTGAGCAGTTCCCTGGATAGTCTAGGGGAAAAAAAATAGAATCACTTTTCTATACTCACCTTTGAGCCTAAGTCATTAAAATCCATCTTTGCCCACTGAGACAATTTGTATTGTTCTAATCCTGAGGTTTCCAAACTTTCCCAATTCATGGCATCTTAGTGTCTCAGTAATTTTTTCACAGAGATCCTGGGCCAAAAAAAACACCATAAAATCTCATTTATCCAATAGGAAGGTCCCAACAACTAAGCTGTTTGAAAAAAATAATACCCATAAATTGAAAAAAAATTTTTAATTTTATTCTTAACCACAGTTATTTATAAAAGGATAGGTATGACAATTGAGCACTGAACATCTTCTCAAACCTTAGAAGCTGTTTAGACACCACCACTTATTCACCTCATGTTCACACTGATTTTTACTTACTACTCTCATTTTATAACAGCTGCTGAAAACCCAAAGATATCTTTGAAAGGAGTGCAGCACAATCTAACATTGAAACCCTGAACAACCTTGACCAAGTAGTTCACCTGGTGGCCAACAGATGTCAAGCATCACCCTTGACATTTAACCTACACCACAGACCCTCCGTGAGTTTGCAGTGGTGTCCTGGGCACCTAGCACATCGTCTGGAATTCTTGGCTCTATTCTTTTTCAATTTTTTATTCTATTCTCCCATTTGTAAAATATAATTATCCATTTTAAATGTCTAGCAACTACCTCTGCTAAACCTGGGATTAAACAGAATATAACGTTTACGGTCAGAACTCTGGCCTTTCACTGCTAGTTCTCAAGAAGCTGTGTATTTCCTCCTCTGTTCTTTGTTTCTGGTGAAGCCTATAGAGGATGAGAAGGTTCTCAATGGCCAGACATTCCAAATATATGTCTCAGAGAGGGTAACAAAATCTTCTGCTCTGTTATACATTTAAATAAAACTGCAGTTTTAAACTTGAGCTCATAAATAGATACAGAGAACAGATGGGTGGTGGTAAGGGGGTACAAAATGAGTGACGGAGGTCAAAAGGTACAAACTTCCAGTTATAAAAGAAGTAAGTCACGGGTATATAATGTATAGTGTTGTAACTATAGTTAATAATACTTTGTTGCATATTTGAAAATTGCTAAGGGAGTAGATCTTAAGAGTTTTCATCATGGGAACTCCTTGGCAGCCCAGTGGTTAGGACTTTGCACTTCCAGTGCAGGGGACACAGGTTTGCTCCCTCGTGGATCCTGCATGCTGTGTGGTGTGGTCCTGGAAGATCCCACATGGCGTGTAGTGTGTAGCATGGCCGAAAAAAAGTGTTCATCACAAGAGAAAAAAAAAATTTTTGTAGCTATGTATGTTGATGGCTTTAACTAGACACGGTGATCATTTTGTAATATGTATGAATATCGAATCATTTTACTGTATCAGTCAGCCAGTTCAGTCGCTCAGTCGTGTCCGACTCTTTGCGACCCCATGAACCACAGCACGCCAGGCCTCCCTGTCCATCACCAACTCCCGGAGTCCACCCAAACTCATGTCCATTGAGTCGGTGATGCCATTCAGCCATCTCATCCTCTGTCGTCCACTTCTCCTGTCTTCAATCTTTCCCAGTGTCAGGGTCTTTTCAAATGAGTCAGCTCTTCGCATCAGGCGGCCAAAGAATTGGAGTTTCAGCTTCAACATCAGTCCTTCCAACAAACACCCAGGACTGATCTCCTTTAGGACGAACTGGTTGGATCTCCTTGCAGTCCAAGGGACTCTTGAGAGTCTTCTCCAACACCACAGTTCAGAAGTATCAATTCTCCTGCACTCAGCTTTCTTTATAGTCCAACTCTCACATCCATACATGACTACTGGAAAAACCATAGCCTTGACTAGATGGACCTTTGTTGACACAGTAATGTCTCTGCTTTTTAATATGCTGTCTAGGTTGGTCATAACTTTCCTTCCAAGGAGTAAGTGTCTTTTAATTTCATGGCTGCAATCACCATCTGCAGTGATTTTGGAGCCCCAAAAATAAAGTCAGCCACTATTTCCCCATTTTTTGCCATGAAGTGATGGGACCAGATGCCATAATCTTAGTTTTCTGAATGTTGGGCTTTAAGCCAACTTTTTCACTCTCCTCTTTAACATTCATCAAGAGGCTCTTTAGTTGGTCTTCACTTTCTGCCATAAGGGTGGTGTCATCTGCATATCTGAAGTTATTGATATTTTTCCCAGCAATCTTGATTCCAACTTGTGCTTCATCCAGCACAGCGTTTCACATGATGTACTCTGCATATAAGCTAAATAAGCAAGGTTATACCTGAAACCAATATAATGTTATGTGTCAATTATAACTCCAAAAAAAAAAAAGAATACAGTTTTTAACTCATCATGTTATCTTTTAACAGACCATTCAAGACTGAAAGCAGTACAAAAATAGGTAGAATTTGGTACCTTCTAATTTTTTTTTTAACCATTCTCAATCACGTTTTAATCTAATCCTGACTTTTCTATCCAATTATATTTATTTCATTCATCCTAAATTCCTGTCCCTTGGATCAGGTAAGAGGCTCTAACAGGAATACTTGGAACTTAAGCATAGCTTGAAATCAACAGTCTTTGTTTTTTTTTTCACGTGGGTCAAAATGTTCTCTTCATCATCACAGTTGTTGTCATCATCATAAATATGAAGTATTTATCCTATTTGGCTGGTATTAACAGTTGAAGGGATGGCCTCCCTCTGTCTCCTGTTTCTAGCTTTCCCTGGCTCCTTTTCCATCAGCAGAGAAAAGGGGAGAAAGAGAGAGATACATATATCTTATACTCGCTTACAAGACTGTCTCTTCCTGGCAACAATGAAAAAGACTTTTTCTTTCTCTGTCTCTCTCTCTCCACCTCTTCCCTCCTTTTTAGGAAGATCCCCTGTTCTCTTATCTACTGTTCATTACTACCTTCAGATAGTTGATACAGGCTACTTCTGACATTAAGCTACTGTCTTGTAATGGAAAATACATTCCCTCTCCAAGGATAAATCCAAACTTATCAGAATAGACCATTTAAAACCACTTTCATAAGAAACAGCACACAATTGTAGATAGATGGCTCACAGCCACTGGGACTGCAGGACAGGTATCGGATGTCAGAACAAGGAGAGCAGTGCCCTTCTCTGCTGCTCTCCATTCTCCCTGCCTGACGTTGAACTCCACTTCTTTTCTTGCTGGAGATTTTCTATAAACCAGATGTCAACAAATATATTGGATTCTGTATACTTTAATCTGTTTAACATTTCAAAAGTGCTGAAAGATTTAGGCATATTATCAATTCAACTATGGTTAGTCTCTGATTGCTCAGTTCAGTTCAGTTCAGTCACTCAGTCGTGTCCGACTCTTTGCAGCCTTGTGGATTGCAGCACACCAGGCTTCCCTGTCCATCACCAACCCCCAGAGCTTACTCAAACTCATGTCCATCAAGTCAGTGATGCCATCCAACCATCTCATCTTCTGTCGTCCCCTTCTCCTCCCACCTTCAATCTTTCCCAGCATCAGGGTCTGATTACTAGGGGAGGGGATTAGCAGGATACCTGTTTGAGGCAAGTATCCCAGAAGCCATGTCACTGTGTTTAAAACCCATGCGAAGACTGAAGGGTGGTGCTCAGTAAAAATGAAAAGCCTAGGAAAAGCAGGGGCCCCGGGGCCAGAACAAAGCAAGTCAACGATGGTTCCATCTGGGGGTCAAGGTGGAAAGTTTTCCTTACCCTGCTCCTGGGGACAAAGTGAAGTGAAACCTTCCTTACAACACTAACTCCCTATCAGAGGGACTCCTGCTTTTGCCGAGCTGATTTCAGGAGTGGTAAATGAAATGTTCCTCAAAGAGAGAGATGATGGGGAAGACACAGGAAAAGCACAACCGAATCGCCAAACGTCACCTGCATTGCAAACCAGGAGGAATTTTCAGAAGCAGTGAGAGAGACCAGCCCAACCCAGCTCTCCCGCAGATAACGTTTTCTTCCTTCCTGACTCATCAGTTTCTTTAGGGAAGCCTGGTGGGAAGGGATTAGGCAGCCAGCAAGGCAGCCAGCCTTTTCTGGCACCACGGGGCTTTTTGATTTCAGATCCTGCGAGTCTTCAAGAACAGATTTGGCATGCCAGTGTTCTAGGCTGGGGGCCAGCAACAATTCAGCTATGATGAAGCACATCAGATGGTCGGTGCTCTAAGCCAGAGACCTGAGGACCCTCCTGGGGTTGCCCCTCTCCGGAAGTTTAAAGCTATCAGGACAGGTCTGCCTTCTTGAAACGTGCAAATGTCACCAGCCGGGAGTGGCAGATGCCCAGGGGCGTCCGGGAACAGATACCCATCTGGTAATGGGTTAGGCTTCCTGGGACACAGATTAGAATAGTTTGAAATAAAGCCACGGAAGCACCGGCTTGGCTTTTCACATATTGTTACAGTCTCTGGGTCATTTCCTGCCTTTGGAATTTACTTCCTTGCCAGGTTCAGCAAAAACCCACTGAATACAAGAAAGAGGTGGGGAGTTTTCTTTGTCCAGGCCCAGCAGAGGGGCCGCTCTGCCTCTGGGAACTGGCATCTCTCGGGCAGTTGCCTCTTCGCATGTTCCTGTCTGCTCACGCTGAGCCCTGCAGGGCGGAAGCTTCAGGAATGGAACAAAAATTAGGAAAGGGAGCCATCTCCAGTTAAGTCAGATGAATCCTCTTGTTTCCTGGAAAATAAAAAGGGAAGGAATAGACTGGGAAGGACGCAAAGGATGCTTCATCCTTTTATAAGGAGGAGAGCCCTTTACCACCAGCGTTCTGTTCAGGGAGGGATGCGGCCTCTCTTGGAGAGAGGCTGAAACCAGCTCCACCTGGTCACCCCGTCCCCTGACCGCCAGCTAAGTGCTGAGGACCGTGACATCAGCTACAGCACCATGACCTGTCTTGTTTCATTTCACTAATATCCATTTTCTACTTTGTGCTCCAGAAGATTTAAGGTAGCAACGACTGTCTTCCTGGCAGCATCTTGATCTCGTTTTGGGCACTCCGAAGCTGATGTGAGTCCTTGGAAAATTTACCCACAGCTCCCAGTATGCCCTGAACAGCCAGTGTTTCTGCAGTGCGGGGACACCTGGAGGTCAGGGTGAAACCTCTCACTCAAAAGGCTAGAAGAGCTGGTCAGAACTTTAATGCAGAAGCTGCTGCCACTGCTGTTTCTCTAAGTCCAAAGAAGGTTTGTCTCTCCAGAGTGATCCAAAGTCACAAGTTCCCTCTGAAAAGCCAACTCATGCAGTCCTTGTTGCCAGGAGGAAGCTCCTGGAGTCTGGTCCATGTCCACAACTCATCTCTCTCTAGACTAAGAGATCAGAGTTCACAGCTTTAGAGGAAGGGCTCATTTTTGTCCCAACCCTCAGTATAAGCACAGCTACGCTGGCAGCAAGAGCTCTGTCAAATAAAGGAAGTGGCAGCTGGTGATCAGCCTTCATTCTGGTGGCCCCTTCCCCCATCCCCAGAAACAAGAACCAGCACTCCCTCCCCTCCCCCACTGCCTTGACCAGGTTATCACTGTGGCTCAGGACTGAATCGAAGTGAACTTTCCGGAATCACACTGTCTCATCGGGTATCCACAGAAATGGTCTGTGACCTTCACGGCGACATTTCCAGCGTTTAGAAAGTTCCAGGGGAAGTGCATAAGTGGCTAAGGACAGAGCTGGCCCTGTAGCTAAGCAAGGTCAGAAACATCTCTAAGGTATGATTTTTAAAGCAACCAGAAATCTGCCCAAGGGCCCCAGTTTTCCTCCACAAAGGAGATTCTGGATGACTAAGGCCTTATGTTTCCATAACATTTTCGTAAAATTGTAACCAGGGACTGGTTAACTTTCCAAGCTTTTGCTTTTTAACTTTAGAGAGCCTGATTGCACAGGTCTGGCAGGAGGCCAGGGACCTGCATTTTTTATCAAGCCCACCTGCTGATGCTGGTACAAGTGGTCTGTGGCCCATATTTTGGAAAACTGCTGAAAATAATAGTGAATCATTATCATATTAACATGGATTAACTGCTAATACAGGAGAACACTGCACCTGGATTCCAGGCCAGGCTTTGGTGCTCTGTGAGGCTGCAGACAAGAAAGTTTAATCCTCCAAGATTGAAGGCCTCAGGACCAGATGGTGACCTCTAAAAATTTAGTTGGAGGCTGTTTTCTAAATTACGGCTGAAAAGCCCAAAAAGTATGAGGATTTGTCCAAAGGGTCAAAGAAGGTAGGCCTTCTACAGCATGCTCTGAGTACTCACCAAAGTCCTGTGATCAGAAAACCGCAGAGGCCAGGGAGAATCTTCTAACCCCAGGGCTGCAGTCCTGATATCCTACATCTCCAGACAAGAACAAAAGGAACAGATACATCTTTCCTTGCCCTTATGCATGTGTGCATGCTAAGTCGCTTCAGTCGTGTCTCTTTGCGGCCCTATGGACTGAAGCCCACCAGACTCCTCTCTCCATGGAATTCTCCAGGCAAGAACACTGGAGTGGGTTGCCATGCCCTACTCCAGGGGATCTTCCGACCCAGGAATCGAACCCACATCTCCTGTGGCTCCTAACTTGTAGGCAGATTCTTTATTGCTGAGCCACCGGGGAAGCCCTTCCTTGCCCCCAATCATCTCCAAACAGGAAAGAGAAAAAGGGAAAAGATTATTCAGTGCTTTATATTCCTTTATATCTGTTATATTCTCAAATAGTCCTAGTATCATTAGTCTCATTTTGAAGATGAGAAAATTGAGGATTAAAGATGTTGCAGAAGATTATAATTCAACTATACTTCAATAAAAAAAAATTAAAAGAGAAAAAATGCTGGATAACTTTCCTATATTGCCAAAGCCATATGGCTATTGAATGCTTGAGCTGAAATTTGAACTCACATCTATCAAAGTGCAAGTTCCATTTTCTTTCGCAAAGCCATTCACAACTAAAGTTATGCTGTGACCATTCTGAGGACCTAGCTGTTTTGAGACCCTCAAAATACCGTCACCTCTCCATGATCTTCATCCATACCTGTTAACCTACTCTATTCACAATCTCATCTCACTTTTTATCTTTATTCCATCCCTGGTCTGCAACTAGTCCCTCAGTCCTGGTCATTTCTTATCACAAATTCTTTACCCCCTGGAGGTAAAATATCACCACTTCTCCTGGGCTCAGGAGGACTTTTCTGGTCCATAATCACCCCAACCAATGACTTTAAGACCTTTGGGTTCTAGAGAACTCAGGATATCCCCAGAGGTTTCCAAGGAAAGAGACTCCTCAAATGCCTGAGAGGCATTCAGTTTCAGTTCAGTTGCTCAGTCACATTCGACTCTTTGCGACCCCATGGACTGCAGCATACCAGCCTTCCCTGTCCATCACCAGCTCCCAGAGCTTGCTCAAACTCATGTCCATCGGGTCGGTGATGCCATCAGCCATCTCATCCTCTGTCGTCCCCTTCTCCTCCTGCCTTCAATCTTGCCTCATGCCTTCAAAGCCTGAGAGGCATTAGTGACTTTAATCTGATACCACCCATCCAACCTCTATCACCCAACTCCCTACACCCCACCTCCGGATCTCTTCTCAGATCAAGACAGAGAGGCAGGAAACCTGGGTCAGCTGGTACCCTTCTGTATTAGGAATAGATGCCCCTCAAACTTCAACTTCCTAGTAACAGTGATTATCCTGGGATGCTGGGCACCCCCTAGTGGGAGTAACAGAAGAAAAGACAGACTTGTGATGCTGTTCTCAGTCACCCATCCACCCCCAACTTCCTGCCCTCAGCTGCCTTGGCCTTCCTGCCCATCTCACTGTTCTTGAAATGATTCATTCTTCCCACGATGACTGGGCCTTTTGCCCCATAAAGCCTTCCCTGTCTTTAAAAACATAATGAACTAAAATTAAGCAGAAGGCAAGCAGGCAGAACAGCGGGAAAAACTTCCTATAGGGAGAGCTCTCAAAACCGTGAAATTCCTTATAAGGCAAACTTTGACCTAACAGCACTGGGAAAACAATAGGGGATATCTCAGAAAGATATTTTTGGAAATGAGGAGGATGAGGGAAAGGCTGCTTTCCTGATTTTAAGATATATGTTAATACACACATCTGACCCCCTCAGCCTGATTCCAAGACTTGTATTAATGCTTGGTGCTATGTTTTACCTCTGCTAAGCCTGAGGGAACAGTCAACCTTTATGCATTTGGGGATAAGCAGGTGAAGCCCTGTCCTAGCAGAGAGGTAGCCCATCTGTGGACTATTGTGGGATTTTCTGGACATTTGTCACTATCGCTCACTCTTTAAAGACCATGGCCATAGCCCCCCATGGCAGGGATGAGCCTTATTACATTACAATCAATAAGCCATTTTCTGAGTACCTACAATATACAAGGTTCAAGTAGCCCCAGTCTTACGCATTTTAAAGATCTTCCCGTATCTAGTTTAGTCCTTTATCCAAAGAAAGTCTTTGATAAGAGAGAGAGCTAAAGGATTCCAGTGCATGCATTAAGAATTCTGGGCATATTCACAGCCCACGTTTTAGTTAAGTACTTGATCATTTGCTCACTGGGCAGGGGTCAGCCAGTCCCATCCTGTAGCCCAGTGCCAGTCCCCAGGGATGTTATAATTACATGACATCTCACCTCCGAATTTGGTTGTTACAGTCTTACTTGTTCCTGGATCTGAGTCATCAACTCATTAGTGCCCGTTCAAGTTAACCTTCCCTGATAAGTTTCCTGAAACCTTGCTCGTAATGCTGGCAATTCCAGTGCAAAATTGTCTCTGCTCTGGCTCCTGTCTCCTCTTGAACCAAGTCACTTGGACAGTCTGATCTCCCAGATGCTTGCAATGTTGATCTCTTCCATCGTTTCTTTCAGAGTCATTTGATATATTCATTTCTTTGACAACCAAGAACTTTGGAAGAAACTCTCCCCTCAGGCACTTCCATTTTCGTGTCCTTGCAAACTCAGCAGGCGCATCACAAGAGGAATCTCTGTGGGAAGTTAGAGGACACACTGGACCTCAGTTCTCGGGACTGCTGGGAGGCAAAGAAAGGTCAAGGATGCTCCATGGTCAGCCTCTCGTGTCTAACAGCAGAAGCTGGGACTCTTTCCTGCATAACTTGAGCTTGAATTAGAGGCATTTTTTAGCCTGGAGTCCTTTAACCTTCGATCTGAATGGAACGCTCAAAGGGT